CATATTCTACTCACTCTACATACTCAACTCACTCTGCATATTCTACTCACTCTTCATACACTACTTACACTGCATACTCTACTCACTCTACATATTATACTCAATATATATATTCTACTCACTTTACATACTCTACTCACTCTTCATACACTACTCACTCTCCATATTCTACTCACTCTACATATTCTACTCACTCTTCATACTCTACTCACTCTACATATTCTACTTCCTGTTCATACTCTACTCACTCTACATACTCTACTCACTCTTCATTTTCTTCTCACTCTACATACTCTATTCACTCTACATACTCTACATACTGCACACATTCTACTCACTCTATATACTCTACTCACTCTTCATACTCTACTCACTCTCCATATTCTACTCAGTCTACATATTCTACTCACTCTTCATACTCTACTCACTCTACATACTCTACTTACCCTATATATTCTTCTCACTCTACATACTCTACTCACTCTACATACTCTACTCACTCTTCATACTCTACTCACTCTACATACTCTACTCACTCTGCATATTCTTCTCACTCTTCATACACTACTCACTCTACATACTCAACTCACTCTGCATATTCTACTCACTCTTCATACACTACTTACACTGCATACTCTACTCACTCTACATACTCTACTCACTCTACATACTCTACACACTGCACATATTCTACTCACTCTACATACTCTACTCACTCTACATATTCTACTCACTCGACATACTCTACTCACTCTGCATATTCTACTCACTCTTCATACACTACTCACTCTACATACTCAACTCACTCTGCATATTCTATTCACTCTTCATACACTACTTACACTGCATACTCTACTCACTCTACATATTATACTCACTATATATATTCTACTCACTTTATATATTCTACTCACTCTTCATTTTCTACTCACACTACATTCTCTACTCACTCTACATACTCTACTCACTCTACATATTCTACTCACTCTACATACTCAACTCACTCTACATACTCTACTCACTCTACATATTCTACTCACTCGACATACTCTACTCACTCTGCATATTATACTCACTCTTCATACACTACTCACTCTACATACTCAACTCACTCTGCATATTCTACTCACTCTTCATACACTACTTACACTGCATACTCTACTCACTCTACATATTATACTCACTATATATATTCTACTCACTTTACATACTCTACTCACTCTTCATTTTCTACTCACACTACATTCTCTACTCACTCTACATACTCTACTCACTCTACATATTCTACTCACTCTACATACTCAACTCACTCTGCATATTCTACTCACTCTTCATACACTACTTACACTGCATACTCTACTCACTACATATTATACTCAATATATATTTTCTACTCACTTTACATACTCTACTCACTCTTCATACACTACTCACTCTCCATATTCTACTCACTCTACATATTCTACTCACTCTTCATACTCTACTCACTCTACATATTCTACTTCCTGTTCATACTCTACTCACTCTACATACTCTACTCACTCTTCATTTTCTACTCACTCTTCATTTTCTACTCACTCTACATACTCTACTCACTCTACATACTCTACACACTGCACACATTCTACTCACTCTATATACTCTACTCACTCTTCATACTCTACTCACTCTCCATATTCTACTCAGTCTACATATTCTACTCACTCTTCATACTCTACTCACTCTACATACTCTACTTACCCTATATATTCTTCTCACTCTACATACTCTACTCACTCTACATACTCTACTCACTCTTCCTACTCTACTCACTCTACATATTCTACTCACTCTACATACTCTACTCACTCTGCATATTCTACTCACTCTTCATACACTACTCACTCTACATACTCAACTCACTCTGCATATTCTACTCACTCTTCATACACTACTTACACTGCATACTCTACTCACTCTACATATTATACTCACTATATATATTCTACTCAATTTACATACTCTACTCACTCTTCATACACTACTCACTCTCCATATTCTACTCACTCTACATATTCTACTCACTCTTCATACTATACTCACTCTACATACTCTACTCACACTATATATTCTTCACACTCTACATACTCTACTCACTCTACTTACTCTACTCACTCTTCATACTCTACTCACTCTACATATTCTACTCACTCTACATACTCTACTCACTCTGCATATTCTACTCACTCTTCATTTTCTACTCACACTACATTCTCTACTCACTCTACATACTCTACTCACTATACATATTCTACTCACTCTACATATCCTACTCACTCTACATACTCAACTCACTCTGCATATTCTACTCACTCTTCATACACTACTTACACTGCATACTCTACTCACTCTACATATTATACTCACTATATATTTTCTACACACTTTACATACTCTACTCACTCTTCATACACTACTCACTCTCCATATTCTACTCACTCTACATATTCTACTCACTCTTCATACTCTACTCATTCTACATATTCTACTTCCTGTTCATACTCTACTCACTCTACATACTCTACTCACACTACATTTTCTACTCACTCTACCTACTCTACTCACTCTACATACTCTACACACTGCACACATTCTACTCACTCTATATACTCTACTCACTCTTCATATTCTACTCACTCTGCATATAGTAACGATTGAGTATCTAAATATAACAGTGATTGTTTCAACGATACTATTAAAGCTGTCACAAATTGATTTACAGCGCGTCAACGTCACTCGTAATGCAATGTGGTAATTGCGCTTTAGTGTTTTCCATAAAAATTATATGCTTTTAACCATTACGCCCGGTTGAAAGATAAACTTTTTTTTATTATTACAATATTTATAAATAATTTTTTTTTATTTCCGTACATACATAATATTTATTTATTAACCGATTTACAAAAACAAGAAGTTACTATACCCAACGCATATGTTTTTTAAAGTATGTTCACTGATTTCACGGAAACTACTTAACCGGTTTTTATGATTCTTTTTATATTAAATAGGTTATTTTTCAGAGACGTTGCCGTAAAAAAAATCAAGAAAAACGTACTCCAAAAGTTGGGAAATAGGGGATGAAGTTTTTAATATAACTATTTATTTTTTAATTTATTTTTACATGAGGAAATGTCTACGCATACGCACCTTACAGGACAAGGACGGATTATGTTGTCCTTTCACTGACAAAAAACCCCATGATGTTCCACCTACGTCGCATATTGGCAGGGCCACGGGAACGCTTTCGCACACCAGCGACTCCTCCTCGGGAGAGAACTTCTCCTCCTCCTTTTCCTTCTCTACCGCCTTTAACATACCTGCGTAATGGACCCCCTCAGTCCGGCACGCGGAGGCCATGAAACCAGGAAAAATAAGCTCTCGGAAGCACTAGCTTTCCTGATCCGAGCGGTGGACCTGGGAGACCAGAATCGAGGTTAGTGGTGGAGCCAGAGATGGCTCCATCGCTAACCATGTTTCGGCCGCGGAGGATGTGGCGCATCGCCATACCAACATTCCATTTCTCCCGGGACTCCACCTCAGCTGCAACGGTAGGGTAAGAGGACACCCCTCTTGCTACAGTCCACTAACACACATCCGAGGTGGGCTATACCTCGAGACAGCCAAGTTAGTTCCTCCTAGTTCACCGTGGGTGCCCAAGCCACGGCTTCTAACCCCCCCGACCCGTTGTCGACGATCACGACAGGTGCAATATTAACGGCGCCGTTTAGTAAAAATGCTAGGCTGTTAAATGAAAGGCTATTTAAGTTAGTTGGCTGCGATATACGTATTCGTTTGTAGCTTTAGCGCTAATAACTAACGGCTGGCTTTAAGCAGATTTCCCAGTACCGTTTGAAATATTTTAATTATTAGTGTTTGTCTAATCCACACTGAGTTTGCTTCACGGAACGTATACAGATACAGGGGGTACTACTACGATAGTATAATAACCACGACACGACCGCCTCCTTTTTTTCGCTCCATCACCACTACCAATAAATGGATTACGAACGTATTTCCCGTTTTCCTTTTTGCTCCTTTAAGATAGTATCCACCATTGGTTCATTAATTACAGCTTGTCAAAAGTCCACTACTGAACATAGGGTATTTTCTATAGATTGGGTAATTCCTAATAGGGGGAATATTTGCCATAGTTCCGTATCCTAGCAAGAGGGTTGAATATTTCGAAGGAAATATTTTTATCCAAGCAAATATAGCTTTGTCGATGATTTTATATTCCGTTGAGCAAGTGGTAGCATAATATGAAATTTGGATTACAAGTGAGATTACCTCGTTTATATACCATGTGACCATCAAGACTTCTTTGCGATACACATATTTATAATGTAATATAATCATCATCAGTTGATTTAGAAATTAAATTACCTGATAGTTCGAGTAATAATAAGTCTAGTACTATTCCCTTTATACTTTTAGACATATGATAAAGTAATAAAAAATAATAAATAATCAAAAATAAGTATATATTTATGTTGATTGAAATCAATGTTAGCATTGAGAACTAAATCACTTTAAATTAAAGACGTCGTGTCTTGTGAAATAACGTCACTCATATAATACTACTACAATAGGAATGTAATTTTTTAGTAAATCAAAAGACACGAGTGTATTTATACTCTCATATTTGGCATAGGTAGTATAAAGAGATCCAAGATGACCATTTGTCATTAAAGCTCAATGCATAAATTACACTCAACAGCTTCTTCAATAGTGTCATCATTCTTTCAATAGTGTGTCTCTTTTTGTCTTATTTGAAAATTAAATTAGATAAAGCGATGTGTGTATGGGAGCGTGTGTGTGCGCGTGTGCGTATGCGTGTGCGTGTGCGTGTTCGTGTGCGTGCGCGTGTGGGTGGGCGATCGCGTGTGCATGCGAGTGCGTATGCGCGTGCGCGTATATGTGCGTGTGCGTGTGCATGCGAGTGCGTATGCGCGTGCGCGTACATGTGCGTGTGCGTGTACGTGTGCGTGCGAGTATGTGTGGGCGTGTGCGTGTACGTGTGCGTGCGATATTGCGTGTGCGTGTGCGTGCGTGTGCGAGTGCGTGTTAATGTGAGTGTGCGTGTGCGCGGGCGTGAGCGCGTGCGTATGTTCATGCGTGTGGGTGTGTGTGTACGAGTGCGAGTGCGTGTATGTGCGTGCGTGCGTCCGTGCGTGCGTGCGTGTGCGTGTGTGTGTGTGTGTGTGTGTGTGTGTGAGAGAGAGTGTGTGTGTGTGTGTGTAAGTGACAATTTTCATGACACCGTCATGATATAACGCAATTTTAAAGGAAATAAAATAAAATACGGCCACAATGGGGTTTTGAACGTCCTACGCAATACATTTAAGTGCGCAATGCCAAGGGAAATGATAGTTTGACAGTCCTATTGTCGTGCGTCCCCTTAAGAAGAAGTTAAAACGATGAACCTACTTAATCAAAGTAGTCTGTCTTTGTCGTTTTATTTTAACACACAGTTGAGACTAAATGCAATAATAAAAAACTAATTACCAGTTAAGTATAACGTTCTGATAGGCAATATATTCGGTATATGACTTTTATAAGCGTTTTACTCGCCTAAATAAAATATATATCAATATATATATATATATATTTTGACTTTTCTAAGCTAACGCTTGACTACTATCCCACTTGATGGTAATTGGCATATATCTTGATACATTTCTTAATTTACATTTATTTACACGTAGAATGTTGTATTCTTAACATGGATTATTCTTCTTATTCATTACCCCGTTAAACTCTACTGCTGGACATACACCTATCCTATTGTTGACAGGATTTGGTTTATTAGTCAGTTATGCCTGGCAGGCAGATTGGTGACCGCAGGTCACACGTTTCGCACCTCTGATGCTTCTTTGCCGGTCTGGGTATTTAAGTCTCGAAAACAAGACTTAAATACGATCGCTATACCACCGTCTATTGAAAGCAATAACATCTTTCTGGCATGTGGCAGATATAGAGAATAGCAAATTATTGCCAAATCACAAATGTAAAAGGAATCATGTCACAGCTGATAAAACATGGGCGCTTTTTAATTGGCAATTCAACTCTAACCATACCAAATCATGAACAGAAATTGACGAGATTAATTTAAAACACTGGTCAAAGATAAAAGTCCAATTCATTTAAATATTGAAATACATACTTATTATGAGATATTGATAGACTAAAAATAACCTACTAACCATGTATTAATATACCGCAAGTATCGCGCATGAGAAATTCCCTATATGAATGTCTCACGTGATATCAAGTTAATATAAATGCGGTATATTGTGTAATAGACTGACGGAAACCTGTCTGTATACATATATGTACGAGTATTAACCCTCTACGCGTCATCTGGTTACTGGAAACATCCATGTACTTATCTTACTACCACTTCGTAACACTCTATGCACTTGTTCATAACCCTAAAAATTGCATTATATATGTAGATATATGTTTCATTATTTTCATGTTTTAGCAACCAAATTAAATGACGTTCCTTCAAAGGGCGTCGGGAGGGATTTGATCTCATATTAATTTCACAACCTTGCTAGCTTTAAAATTGAAATGCTTAATTTGCGAGTCCAACAATTTAGCCGCTTCTCATAAAAAATCTTAACTTTATTTGGGACGGGTTGGATGTATGATTATTATTTTTATATATTATATGTGTTCTCAATTTTCGTTAGTTCTTCTTTTAGTAATGGCTCTCAATAGCGGCTAAGCATTTCTAATTAGTCTGTGAAAGTGTCATAGATAACATAATAAAACGTACGTTATAACAAATGAATAATTATTGAATTCTCTAAAATGTGTGTTATGTAATTTTAGTTTTATTAAAAGTGCCGGCAGAATATCAGCGCCGTGCTTATTCCACTGCAGCATAATGCTAAGTAATATGCCTATTTGTTGCTGTAATCATTTTTTTTAATAAGTATGTAACGGTGGTAGAGCCACGCGGCAGTTTTTGCTGTTGCACGTATGGGCCGGCCCGTGCCGGGTTAGTACCACGACCTCACAGAATACCGGCGTGAAGTAGAAGCTCTGCTTCTGCGTTTCGTCTGGTGAGTGCAGGTGGCCGGAGGTCCAATCCCCCTCCTCCCCCATCAACATGGTAGCGGAATTACACGAAAGACTACCCCAGGAGGGTACCAGCACCCCTGGAGAATCCCTCGCTGAGCATCCACGAGCATGTTATTCCACTCATGAGCGTGGGTGCTCAGGCTGCGCGTATTCTGGGGGGAGGGGGCAAAATTCCGCTCAAAAACATAACTGTTCGGGGCAAACTGAGCAACAATACCAAGGCGACCCCTGCCACGCTATCCGTGAATTTCTGCAACATCAGGGGACTTCACTCTAACCTACCCCGTCCACTACCATCTCGAGACGGCGAAGCCGGCCATGCTCTTTCTGACCGAGACGCAGGTGTCCTGTCCGGCTGATACATCGTATTTCTCGTGCCCGGGGTACAAATTGGAGCACTCTTTTATGCCTCCGACTGGAGTTTGCGTGTATGTCAGAGAGGACATCTGTTCTCTACGCCTCGGCAGTCTTGAAGGTTCGGACCTGTCCATCCTTTGGCTACGCGTAGACAGCGACGACCATCCGCGCGTCTACGGGTGCCTCTATAGGTCCCATAGCGGTAATGCCGAAACAGACCGACTCATCGACCACGTCCAAGTGGCTACAGATTCCTTGCTACAACAGGTCCCATCCGCAGAGATCGTGATCCTTGGCGATTTTAACGCCCACCACGCCGGATGGCTCGGTTAACGTTTAACCGATCATGCGGGGAGATCTGTTTATAACTTTGACTTGGCATATGGTCTGACATAACTGGTTACTTCGCCTACGCGGATTCCAGATGTGGAGGATCATACACCTTCCCTGTGCAGTCTTGCCTGTCAGCAGAAGGTCCACTTCTGCTGACCTATCATCCGCACGGATATCAGCTTTCCGTCGATGCCCCTCTCGGCTCTTCGGACCATTGCCTGATCCGGAGTGTGGTGCCGCTCACGCTCCTCTCGCGGTTGCGTTCTGCAGGTTGCCGCCGTGTTTGGCATTACAGGTCGGTGGATTGGGACGGAATGCGGTCATTCTTTGCATCCTACCCATGGGGGCGGGTTTGCTTCTCGCCGGATGATCCCAGTGCTGTTGCTGACTCTGTCACTGATGTGGTGCTACAGGGAATGGAACTATTTATTCCATCATATGTGGTACCCATCGGAGGCAGATCTCAGCCTTGGTTTGGTCGCTCCTGTAAGACTGCATTACGCAGTAAGCAGGAGTGTTATCAAGTCTGGGCTGCGGCTTCGGCGACTCGGTATGTAAACACCGGCATGCTTAAAAAGAAGTATAATTTCGCCTCCAGGTCCTTCAAAAGAGTTATTGCCAAGGCAAAGTCAGAGCACATACGCAGTATTGGCGAGAAACTAGTTCGCCTTCCTTCGGGAACCTGTGCATTCTGGTCTCTCGCCAAGGCTGTTCAAGGGAATTTCTGTAAGCCATCACTACCATCTCTGCACAGGGAGGACGACTCACTGGCCCAAGCCGCAAAAGACAAAGCCGACCTTTTAGGCTCCCTTTTTGCGTTAACTCGACTCTTGATGACGGGGGAAAATACCGCCGACCATCCCGCGGTGTGAGTGCTCCATGCCGGATGTGCTGTTCTCACAGCGCTCGGTTTGCAAAGCACTGGACATTCAGAAGTCGAGTGGGCCTGACGGAATCCCCCCAATTGTGCTGAGGACGTGTGCTCAAGAGTTGGCACCGGTCCTAACGCGTCTTTTCCGGTACTCCTACTCTCAAGGCGTAGTTCCTAATTCATGGAAGACAGCTTTTGTCCACCCGATCCCTAAAAAAGGCGACCACTCAGACCCGTCCAACTATAGGCCTATCGCCATCACCTCCTTGTTCTCCAAAATAATGGAATCCATTATTAACTGTCAGCTCATGCGGTACCTTGAGGATCACCAGCTGATCAGTGACCGCCAATACGGTTTTCGTCGGGGTCGATTAGCTGGTGATCTTCTGGTCTACCTGACCCATAGATGGGCGGAGGCAGTAGAGTCCAAGGGGGAGGCGTTGGCCGTTAGTTTGGACATTGCGAAGGCCTTCGATCGGGTTTGGCACAAAGCGCTTCTTTCGAAGCTCCCTTCCTATGGGCTTTCCGAGAAATTGTGCAATTGGATCACCAACTTCCTTGCAGATCGGAGCATCAAGGTCGTTGTAGACGGTGCATGCTCCGACTACAAGCCTATTAACGCTGGTGTTCCACAAGGCTGTGTGCTGTCACCAATGCTGTTTCTTCTGCATATCAATGATATGTTGCTAACCGGTAACATTCATTGCTATGCGGATGGCAGCACTGGTGATGCTCTATACACCGGCCGTGCCAATATTTCTCGAAAAAACGTCGCCGTGTACCGGAACAAACTTGTGTCTAAAGTCGAGTCTTTGCTGAACAAAGTCTCGGATTGGGGGCGACTAAATCTAGTCCATTTTAATCCTCAGAAAACACAAGTTTGCACGTTTACCGCTAAAAAGAACATCTTTGTCGTATCTCCTCAGTTTCAAGGCACTCCCCTTCTTGCCTCAGCCAGTATCGGAATCCTCGGAGTCGACATATCGAGTGACGTGCAGTTTCGTGGTCACTTGGAAGAGAAGGCCCAAATTGGCCTCTAAAAAGCTTGGCGTGCTCAGCAGAGCGGGACAGTATTTTATGCTGGCACACCGCCTGCAACTTTACAAGGCGCAGGTTCGGCCTCACATGGAATACTGTTCCCATCTCTGGGCAGGGGCTCCCCAGTGCCAGCTCTTTCCACTTGACCGCATCCAGCGCAGAGCGGCTCGAATCGTCGACGACCGAGTCCTTTCTGATCGGCTCGATTTATTGGTACTGCGAAGAGATGTTGCATCCCTTTGCATTTTCTTTCGCATCTACCACGGGGAGTGCTCTGAGGAATTGTTCGGATTAATCTCAGCCGCCAAATTTCACGAACGCACATCGCGGCAGAACTCCCGATACCATCCACACCATCTGGATGATTGGCGGTCCACCACTGTGCGATTAAGAAGATGTTTTCTTCCTCGCACGACTTTCTTGTGGAATCGATTACCATCAGCGATTTTTTCCGGACCG